CCTGGGACACCTGGGAATGACAAAAACAAAGCAGATGTTAAGAGCAAAGTATTGGTTTCCAACCATGAACAATATGGTAGAGCAGATCATCGGTCAATGTTACGAATGTCAGGTAACCACGAAGCAGCACAGACAGGAACCCATCAAAGTCACAGACATACCAAAGAAACCCTGGGATGTCATATCTGTAGACTTCAGCGGACCCTATCCTGACGGTCATTATAACCTAGTGGCCATTGACAAGAGAACAAGATACCCTGAAGTCATGAAGACTCACTCGACAGCATTCCAGCCGACCATGGAAAAGCTCAAAACCATGTTTGCCACTCATGGGACTCCAAGACAGCTACAAAGCGATAATGGACCACCATTTAACTCCAGAGAATTTGCCGAGTTTGCCAAAACAGAGGGATTCCACCATCACCGAGTTACCCCAGAACACGCACGTGCTAACGGAGAGGCGGAAAGCTTCATGAAACTACTGAATAAGACTGAGCAGATCGCTCGTCTCAATGGGGGAGAAAGCAGTGTAGCTGTTCAAGAGATGCTGACAGGCTATCGCTCAACACCGCATCTTGCTACTGGCGTGCCACCATATGAAGCCCTAATGAACAGACAGATCAGAACCAAACTAGATCACCAAGCGAGGGAGTGCAATGAGAATCCCCGTGACACAGCCATCGACCAGCGGGATGAGAAATACAAAGATAAGATCAAACAGAATGCCGAGAACAGGAACACCAAAGAGCACAATTTCTTAGTCGGAGATCATGTCCTGTTGAAACAGAAAAAGAGAAACAAATGGTCTACCGCATTTGAACCAGCATTCTACAGAGTAACTCGAATAGACGGATCAAGCATTGCAGCAAAAAGGATCACAGATGGACGCGAAGTGTACCGTGACGCAAGCCAGTTCAAGATTGCTAACTCACTGATCCAGGAAAACACCAGCGAAGAAAATGAAGACCAGGAAGAACAAAAGAACCAAGAGGATTGGAGAGAGAAGATTCTACTGAATGCAAACCCTCACTCAGTCCAGGCGGAGACTAAGGAAAGCAGCGCAAAGGAAGCAGCTAAAACCAACAAAGCGGACCAGAGCAAACAACCTATGCCAGCAGCTGCGACCAGACCAAGGCGTGATCGAAAACGTCCAGAGTATTTGAAAGACTTTGTCACCTAAAGACTGTACTTAAACTGTACCTAACATGGAACAGAAAGGACTGTGCTTTAAAATAGCATGCCTAGTCTAAGTTAGGACACATGTTTTAAGTTGCGTTATTTTTCACTTAAGGAAGAGACTATCTCGAAAGAAAAGGAGAAATGTAATATCCAGTCCAGTATCCCGAGATTTGCAACATAGTTCAGTTCGCACATGCGCATTAGCAACACTTGGCATTACCACGTTGTCAGCTCGAGTCGGAGAAGTTTGTTCTATTAAAGCATTGTTTATACTGAGAAGACTAGCGGTTGTTACAGCTATCAGACATTTAAAACTATTGGCATGCTTATATGAAGCATAAGTGTTACCTTGTTGGGCAAAGTTTCTAGAGGTCTCCATTCTGAATTCAGTACAATAAGTGCTACATCTGACATTCCTCATAGTTTTGATTAAAACGATCCACCAACTCGAGACTATGATCGCAAAATCAAATAATAAGCTAAAAGCTCATAATATGAAATGGGACAAGTACAAAAATTATTAGATGATATAGAATCTCGTGTTTGTTGCTGCGCTGTACTAGTATTATATTTAGAAGCTGAGGAGAGCTAAGAGGAACTGTGGGTTGTGTATGTAGATATATGATGTACCGTGTCTGTCTGTTTATGTGAATTATGTTTGTTTATCAAAAATGTATGTAACTTTGAATTAATAAAAATTAACAAAATACAAAAAAAAAAATAGTTTTGAAAACTCTTGGTAGGAATTTCTTTAGGAATTCCTTCGAGGGAAACATAAATTTCTCCATTTGTCGAAAAATTTTGTACATCAGCTGAATATGTGGTAAAAATGTCCCTTATTGAGGTTTCCTTGATTTTATTTCCAGGACAACTTAACAGTATTGAAGGGTTTTTATTGTAAAACCTTTTTTGAGTTGTAAAAGGTAAATGAACAGTTTCTCTTTAGAAGACCATTCAGGCAGTTTACATGAGACCTTTGATAGCTTCTTTGCACTGCAACTCCAGTAAGTTAACTCATCCAAAGGACAATATTGAACTGAAGACTTGAAAGGCCAGTAAAGTGCTTCATTAGTTGTGAATCTTTTCCAATAACTTCACATGAAAGGTTGCTGACAATTCTAGAGTCGGTATTCTTCGTAGACAATTTTTAAGCTCATTCTTTAGAACCATGGTTTCAATCTTCGATGCTAGCTCTACCTTACTGCAAAGTGTCTGAGTACTTTTATCATTAGCCATTTTAACCACTTCTATTCCCTCGTGGATATAATTGTGCAATTGATTTTCTTCCTTTTCATTTGAATCTTCGTGAAGCTCAAGTTTAGCTTTCTTTACATCAATCGGCTCTATCCTCTGTTTTGGCGGCTTTCTCTTTCGGCGTATATAAACTGCTCTTCAATGTCCTTCACCGATAAATTGAACTTTAGAAGATCTGGAAATTCCTTTGTCGGCCCCATTTCACCTGGCCAGTGTAAGGCACAAATGCAGGTGTTTCTAGTAATGTTTTTCGCGGTGAAATGTACACGAGAGCAGGCATTGATCCATTGTTGACAACGTTCAATGCCTTGCGATGGTTTTAGGAATGGTATGAATATTTTTTTTACAGTTTTTGCCATTTCTTTTAGTGATTTTGGTAGCTTTTCGGGAAATCTCGAATCGCTTGAACATTTCCCCTAGCAGCAATGCTTTGTGCTGACTATTTTTAACTGGAATTATTTAGATTACTTGTCTCATTTAGTCCTCTTCGCATTCCGCCATCTTGGATGTTTGTTACTTACTACTCAGTTGCGGAAAACAATGGTGTTGCAAAGCCGAAATTTTAACAGTAAACTTCGCTAAATAAAATGTTAAGCAATTTTTTAAAAGTGTTGATTGCAAAAATATCTTTTACTGCCGTAATAAACAATGGAGGCACTGGAAAGGGCATCGGTGGCATCTGGAAGGGCAACAAGAAGAATCATATTTACGTTTTGTAACTTACTGCGTGACGTGCGTGGCGAAGAAAGAAAACCAAAACCGTGGTCCCCAAATAATTCTCCTACCTTGTCCCAAAAAGTTTTCAAATTTTTCGTAACTTCGCCTGTTAACCCTAACCCGTTTAGTGTTACTTGTAGAACTCCCCGAAGAAGTCTACGACAGTTAGACGAAACGTGTCGGAGAATAAAGTCAGCTTCCAGTTCGAATTCCTTCAGAACTCGGTTGCTGAATTATCCCTGTACATAGTTTTGTTTTGTTATCTGGACATGAGATTTATTCAGATTTTACTTTTTGATTATTGTTTAGTTGTTTCTCCAGTTGCTTCTTTCTTAAATAACGTATAGTTATTTATACTAGCCTTGGAGAGCAGTTTTTATATGGGAATTCAGTTTCTCCCATATTGCTTTCCTTTACCTACTGTACTTTTATATGGTAATTAAGATTTAATGAATATTACATGGTTATTATTAGTTATTGATTGTTGTTGTGATTTTTATTAGTAGTCATTCTATTGGTGGGATTTTGTACAGTGGAAAAAGCATTATTAAACTTGTTAAACTTTCACCTGCCGTTCGGTTCGGACGTTAAGTTTTCATCCCGAGTGCATTTGTTAAATTGAATAGGAAAAAAAACACTTCGAACGGAAAACAGAATTATTTTAATGTCTGGATCTTTTGTAAAAAGGTCTCCTAAACGAGTGGCCTTGATTATAAATATTTAAGCATGGTAAACACATTAGCCTTAACTTGGCTGTTTCTCGTAGCTCAGTGTTTTCCTACTTGCCTTTTTCCCCATGAAATGGGGCGATTGAATTTACATAATAGACACTAAAAGAACTACAGCTGATGGAAATTTTTAAATTTCTTATCTTAGGCTGTGGATACAAACTTATTAATAACTCTAAAAATATAAAAATCGAGAACAAATTTTTTTAGAGTAGCTTAGCTTTTCATTTTTCCGGAATCGAAAGTCTATATTGCAAAATTCAAGTGAAAAGCAAGCCAACTGTGATTAACGCCTTTAACAAGGCAAGATACTTTTTTTTCGTCATACAACAAGTTACATATCGTAAATATCATTCTTCTTGATGCCTTTCCCGATGCCTCCGTTGGTTGATATAGCAGCAAAAATATTGTTTCAGTCAAAGCGTTTGGAAAATTGCTCAACTTTTTAAGTAGCGAAGTATAACTTGGTAACATTTTGGCTTTACAACACGATTGTTTTCTGCAAGTTACAAAATGTAAATATAATTGTTCCTGATGCTTTTCCGAATGCCACCGATGCCTTTTCCGATGCTTCCATTGTTTATTACTGCAGTAAAAGATATATGTACAATCAACACTTTTGAAAAATTGCTTAACATTTTATTTAGCGAAGTACACTGTTAACATTTCGGCTTTACAAACACTATTGTTTTCTGAAACTACAACTGATATGTCTCTATATGAAGTATTAAAGTTGTTTCCCCGCTGACCACTTGTATTTGGGTCATTTCTTCTTCCCCCGCGGGGAGTCTTTAATTTACATATCTATTTTTAGAACTGACGCGCAGGATGGAATACTTACACCTGATTACTATAGCAACAGAACAAAGAACACAGATTCTGTTTTGAGACACTGGGTCGAATTTTTTTTTTTTTTTAATGACTTGTCACGTGATCGCATAAGTTTACGCTTTGGTTTTCGGCTGTTGACGATCAGGACGAAGTGATTTTCAACAAGGTTTACAACAAACTTATCCTTGAATTGAGTCGCCGGATTGTCTGCAAAGTTCCCAAACAGATCCCATAACATCTGCTACTCAAGTACTCGATCGTTCCAGAGTTTTTCCATCGGTCACCGCTAGGATGTCTTCGCAAGACCGGAATTACTTCCACTTTCGTTTGTTCCGAATGCTGGTTCTACTTATCCTGTTTACATCTCCAACGATATCTAAAACGAATGGGCTCAGCCTACCACAAAGCTTTCTCAAATTAGAAAGTGCTTTGATGACATCCCAATCAGACAACGAGTTCAAAAAATTAATTATCGAATGCCTGGCTTCAGTGGAATGGCAACAGTTATCTGACTTTGCCATCCAAGAGTTCCAAGGACTAATCGAGAAAATACCACCTGAAATTGAAAATTCTGAAAAGGGAGGTCTTTTTACTGTGTCTGTGCATTTAATATGCCTAATTAATCAACTGTACAAACAGGCTGTGATATTAGCTAAAGACTACAAGCAGCATCGGGATATGTTCAAAGAGTTACAGACAAAAATGAAAGTCGTATTACAAACGATAAAAACAAAAATTAACTCATTGCCAAAGAGCATCGACTTTGCCACGTTGTACGAGCGAATGGCGAAAGTAATGGAAATCCTGAATGATTTTCACATCGAGCTCGAGAAGGTAACTAATGACGTAAAAAATGGTATCATCAACAGTCGACGTGGCATACCCTTGGCCATTGGATGCGGCGTTGCTGCGGTAATCGTCTGTGGTGCTTCCACCTTCGATGCAAGTCCGTGGGTAAAAGGTTTAACATGTGTTCCTTCTATTGGAGGTATTGCTTATTCTATCTTGAGTTTCTTTTCACTCGACAAAACCAGTGAAGAACTGAACCAGTTGCAGAAGGAAACGAAAAAGCTAAGGCTAGAGTTAGCCAAGCATCGAACCAAGCTTCAAGTTCAACTTGCTTTGATGAAAGGTAAACTTAATCACTCACGGCCTGTTCATAAGCTACTTGATTGAACAAGAAATTCTCTCAACACTGGCCCAGACTTTTAAAGATTACTGACTCTTTTCCAACCCCCCCACACGTTATTCTGTAAACGTATACCATACATTTACTGAACAATCGAAAGCTTTTTTGACTCCATGACCTTAATGTTATATTCAGGGAAGATGAAGTAAGGACAAGTTAAATGTTAGTCATTTTTAGGGGTAAAAAGGTTAACAGTGCTGTTACATTTCATTTTTGTTTTCATCAAAGTATTCTCTCTCTCTCTCTACATTTTTATTATACTGTATGTCTCTCTTCTGTGAAAAGCGAATTTTTAATCTTTGTACCCATCTGCAACTTTTATGCTTGAATAGAACATGTCAGTTGTAGGCGCATATAATCAACCCAGCTCAGTATCCATGTTCTTCATACTGTTCTCCATACATCTCCTAAGGGGCTGACAAGGAGAGTTTTGTGGAACAATCAAGAGCTTCTTTTATAGGTGAAAGGGGGAAGTGAGGATTCCTCAAACAATACACAGAGGAACCTCGATTTAACAAGCCTTTGTACAACAAAGTCCTCAGCATAACGAATGATACTCTTCAGCTCGGCTAAAGTTACAGTAAAATGTGTAGGAAAGAAACTCGATATAATGAACCTCTATATGATGAAATCCTCATTATAATGAACTTGATTCAGAAGCCCAAGTGTATGATATACCCCATTATAATGAACAAATGTCAACATGTGACAGAAGACAAATGCAAGCAGACTGACAATCATTTCTCTGTTTTCCAGTGACTTCCACTGAAATCTGTCCTCTTTGCTTTTAAAACTAGGTGCTGTAGCTATGTACAGACCTTTATAGTGTTCTGTAGCCTCATGTAGACATAAAAGCTCAAATGTTATTTTCAGTAATCATTCCGATCCCAAAATGCTGGGTAGCTACACTACAAAAAGAAAAAATAAGGAATAAAAATTTTAAAAAAGAATTATCATCCAGCCTTCGATATAACAAACAATAGGTTGTTTTCTGCAAATTTGTCAGAGGTTTTCGATATAAGGAACCCTTGATATAACAAACCCTCAACATAATGCGCTGATTTCCCCAGTTCCTTGACACTTCTTTCAAGGTTCCCCCATACAAAGACATGAACAGAAATACGAGCAAATGATAGGGGGCCACTTTTAGTGCTTTTGTTTCAACAGCTGCCTGGGCAGGAGCTCTTCTGGCTGGGAATGCCCCTGGTGGTGTTGCAAGTATAATAACCCTTTAACTCCTTGAAGTGATAAGCATCTAATTTTTTCTCAACAGTATCACCCCCAAATCAAACATTAAGCTCATGAGAATAAGGGAAATAATCAGAAACATAAGAAGCCCTTGATTATTTGACAAGTTCTCCCTGCAAGGACCATATGAAATGTAAAGAGAATGGTATGGAGAATATACAAAGTGATGTTAGGGTGTTAAGGATTAACTGGACTCAGCTTTGTTGACTCTCTTATTGACCATGAGCAAGCACGAATTGCTCTTTGGGGACATGAAAATGATGGCCATGAAAAACGAAGAGTATCATACTATTCTTGAACAGATGACAACCTTTGGGGTTTTACAATTGTTTCTGCTTATTATTATTAGTCTATGACTTCTGTTTGAGCGCAGTACACAGATACTCTAGGGATATCAAGCAGATGCTGACTAGGAACAAAAGAGCTTTCAATCTTCAACTGTTAAACTCTCACTGCAAAATCCTCACCAATTGATCAACCCACGAGTAATCTCAATAATTTCTTAACCCTTTAACTCCTAAGAGTGACTTGCATCTAATTTCTCCTTACAATTTCACCCCTCAATCAATAATGAAGGTTGCGAGAATAAAGGAAATGATAACCAAGTAAATAAGTTTATGGTTGTTATAAAAACTCTCCTTGTCAGGACTTCAGAGAATATCTAGAGAACAGTGTGGAGAATATGTATACTGATGTTAGGGTGTAAAGGGTAAAAACTTTGATAGATGAGAGACTTGTGACTCGAGAACATAGCAAACAATCAGGGACCATATGTTGCTCCCCAAAGTACTAGCAATAATCTGACCCAAAATTACTGAGGGAGGAAAGTCAATCATAAGAAGGGATATTTTTGAGAAAAATAACTTTGAATGTCTCAGCATACTACTGATTTCTTTACAGTATACATCAACTTTTTATCAAACACAAAAATTAGTCAGTATGCCCATTGTAAAGGAAATGACTTGTACTTTTTCTAGTTGGTAGGTGTACAGAAAAATAACCTAAAAGTTAGGAAATAAATAAGCTAGGAACAACATTTGTGTAGTTTATGTCAGTTTGATCAATAAATGCAACAGAAAATGTATCCCTATTAGCCAATTAATTTATTCTTCCTGATAACTAACTTCTATTTTTGGTTAGGAGTGCAAGGTCAGTTGTTTGATAGATTGATAATGATGGGATTATTAGTCTGCCATCTCTGCAAAATCTTTTAAAAAGAACCTTTTTTATCCCCTTCCAACCTGGTGGTAAAATATTTTTTCTATCTCTATTATATTTTTGCAATGACAAACAACTATATTTTTGCAATAGCTAAGTATTACCTTCATCTGCCGAGCGTTTCTTACAATTTTGTGTAATCAGATCTGGTGCTTAATCAATCAGGATTCATAAGGTGATGTTTTTCTTTCTTCTGATTCACTGAGCTAGAAATTCAATTAACATTATAAGGAGAAATTCCTTTTTGATTGCACTGAGTGAAAAGGTCAAATCTCATGATTCCATGGAGTGATCAGCACATAAATCCCCCTTAAAATTTGAAACTTTTAACTGGAGGGCATTGTTTTGATGCCTGAGAAGAATTTATTGGTCCAGTACCTGTTTGTAGCTGGACCATCAAATCAAAACAATGTCTCTGAAAATGAAAGAAAACTGGGCAACCAGATAAGCTAAAAAACTGTACATTTTAAGAGGGGTCAATAATAGAAGTCAAGCTAGTTTCTCACGAAACACATTATATTGGTAAAAATATGTTGAAATGTGCATATTCAAAGTCTTTTCTAAGTTTCTTTTGCTTTATTCTTCCATTTGGGTTCTTTGCAAGGCCTTTTTTTCTCTGCATGTTCAGTCTTTTCTAGGTTTGCTTTATTCTTCCATTTGGGTTCAATGCAAGGTCTGTTCTTTTTCTATGATGTTCGTGGCCTGTCTTTTGTAGATTTTCAATGCTCTAAACTGAATTATGAGCCTTTTGAGTTCCATTAGAAGTGATCCTTGTGTACGTGATAAAATTACAACCAAGCCATTTGGCACACTCAATCTCTACACTTGGGGAACCTTTGTAATACTCCAAACACTGATGAATCTGGAACTTTTTCACACTCTGCTCATCAGTTGAACTCACTTTGTTCATAGTGAAAAAGCCCTAGAATTTGCAAGTAACTTTCAGGTCAAGTCCTATGCCATTCCATTCCCAGCCAAGATGACAAGTCTAATAAGGCAATGATTGGCACAATTTGGTTCTGTTCAATTTGCTCTATGATACTTCAAATTCACCTGCATGCTAAATTAAACGAAGTAACCTTTATGTTCTCATTTAAATCTCAACTGGGTAAGTGGAATTATACAGATTTCAGCTTCATAAAAATAATACTGTACTGAAATTTCAACTTACTTAACTTTGGCACATAATGCATGAGTAAACATTCTCCTCAGAAACTCTCCACGGAGACTTTTCTTTGTAGACGATATCCTTACGCTTTGCCCAACTCATCCAATGTACTTCCATCCAAAGAATTGGCATGAACTACGCAGGTGTTGAGTTTTTGTGAAAGAGACGACACTGTTGGTGATGGAATTATCATCTTAGCCACATACCGACCAACGTGGTGTGTTTACGGCTGGTTATGACAGGCCAAAAGGAGCAATATTCAACTCATCCAATTTTATATTCGATTTTGTACTTTCTATTCAACTATGAGTTTGATATTCAACTTTTATTCAACTTCCAACATGTTGTTTTATATTCAACTCATTACTTGATATTCAACTATGTATCTAACGTCCAACTGTTTATTTGACATTCAGCTTTTCATTCAACATTCAAATATTCATTTAGCATTCAACTATTCATTCAACATTCAACTAATAGTTAATCAATTAGTGTTGAGCCCTCCCTCTTTCTGTTCAGTGGTCTTATCAGTAAACAAGTAACCTAGCCCTAGCCCAGTGCTGCTCGGGTGTGCTCGAGTGCTTGTTTTCCCGCGCAACTTCATCGTTGTAAAATATGGAGGAAAACCTTCGTAGATCATCACAATGCTTGAACCAGGCAAGCCAAGTAGTTCAAGCACTTGCTGCAAATAGCGGAGGAAATGTTGCTGCTGTTGTAAATGATGACGAAGCCTCAACAAGCACAAATGCAGCCATGTCAACAGGGACAAGCTGTTAGTAGAGCTCGAGCGATGATGAGCCAGTCCACCGCCAGAGGATTTTACTCGCGTTTAAACAGTCGAGAGCGCCTTTGAGCCACTTCGTCCTCTGTGACTACTCCCGTTAAGTCGAAGAAAGCAAAATTCGAGAGTAGTAAGGTATTTGAGTTTGTATTGGTGAGGTTTGACGATGAGGGGGAGGATGGTTACTCGGATAATGCTCTATCTGACAGCTTGGTGTTGACTGATGAAAGAACTGTCTTGAGAGGCTTTGTAACGCTCAGCTCGAACGATAATGAGCAGGCAATCAGAAAGGCGTTGTCTGATACTATTCAGATGAAGTATCCTGCAGTTGCAAGTGAGGACCTAGTTTTCCTCAAGGCAAACAGGAGAAGATTGACGAAACCACTTAATTGCCATGAATATTCGTATAAACAAGTGAAATCACTGGCTGGTCAAGGTGCCATTAACGTCAAACTGAAGAATTGCCTGAGCTTTCTTCTCAACAGTCAAAGTTCAGATAGCAGCAGCTTGAATGATGAAGAGTTCAGAAACCATGCACTGACCAGACCTACATCCACTTTATCAGAAGCACA